CAAGCCTCAGCCTCCTAAGCCTCTTGGGATTTCAGGTGTGTGACACTGGGCCTGGCATGAATTCATATTATATTTACAACTGGGATATGGCTTAGGCAAATTCTTTTTACCAGGGGTCTAAGCCTTTGTTACAGAGAAGACTCTCAGAGTATTTGACAATGGTTACTCTTCCATAGCTCCTGCCAGACCTATATGGATATCTTTCCCAGATCTTTAACTTGAGAACCTGGTGATGTCCTGGAAGTAAAGCCCATGAAAGTGTGGTACCCTCCTGAGACTGTGGTCCTCAGGAGTTTCTTATTCTCCTACAGCCCAAATTAAATTTGTAAAAATTATCCTTTAAATATTCAACTAGTATATGGTCCTAGGAGCTTTTGCTCTGCATAAACACATCTCGGTTGTTGTATCTCAGGCTGTTCCCGTTTTCTAGAGTTTAGGGTGGTAATCAATACAACATCAATTCCTGAAAAGTCTGATTATTTTTCATATTGGCTAAATATTTTTTTCCTGTTGAATGGATGAGGTGATTACTTTTAAGATTTTTTACGTATTGAAGCTGACACTGAAAGTCTGTATCTATTAATTTAATTTTTTTCTATAAGCAATGCAGAATCAAAATGATACATGTTGGATTTATTATTGTAATTTTTCTTGCTTTTTGTCCCTTGCCTTTTTTGGAAACAAAATATGTCCCATAAGAAATCCTTAAGACTAAATTCCTCTGTTTTGGTCTCTTCATTTGATAGATATGTATCAAACATTGAATAAATTCTGAACAATTGAGAGAAACAAACTACAATATTTTTTTTTATACTTGAAGGGTTCAAAGTGTAGTATTGTAAACAAAAAAGTGCTAGGATAAGTGAATGGGCAGGGACAAAAATTTACTGAGTGTTATGGTATGCTTTAGAAATATGAAATTTATAATGTCTTTTGATATGAAATTTAGAAATATCTTTGCCTTTTAAGGGAATGGCATGTTAGTGAGTAAGCAAATTTAGCCTGTGACTTTTCTAAATAATCAGGGCCATCTTTTAAAGGCGCTCATATTAATTTTTTAGTTCTTATATGAATAACTGAGTCAGTTCTAATTATCTGAAACCACTAAAGGCATCATTTGATTATGATTCACCAGGGAAAGCAGACATTTTTGCTTTAAAAACAGAAAGATATTTTTGTTGACAAAATGCATATGGAAGCAGATAGGTCTCTAAAAAGAAATAAAATCAACTTTTAAAAAACATGAGGGTGTTCATATTGGAGCTCACAAAGCCTCAAAGAAGTCCCACAAATCTTCAAAGTCATATATTAATACAAAAACACAGTTTCTGTTAGGGATATGCTTAAAGTTATAGTTTTTTGGTATCATATTAGCTTCCTTTTACAATAAACCATGACTCCTTTAAATGTTGGAGTTGTGAGGCTTTACTGATATTCATTTTTAATTATGCATCAGCGGGTTCACCCTGTTCTGTTCAATTCATAGAATAAATAGAAACTAACAGCTAAACATACACTATACCAGTTAAAGGTTTACCAAATGGGTTCTCATGGTTTCCTTTCCCCACTAAATGCATGCCCATATGCTGGAAAAGATCTCTGAAGCAGAATCCACCGTGACGTTTAGTTCTGAGGGTGTGTTATTTCAAGTATATCAGGCTGCCTGGTCTAGTGCCTTTTACATGGGAAACATCTAAAGTCCCTATTCCCTCACCAAGATTTTACTAAAAATCCAAATAAAATTGATTCCTCCTTTAGCTTTGTTTTGATTTGGGGGGATAGAAACTCTGACATGTTTATTCATTTATATTGTTTTAGCTCTTACAACTAAACACAAGAAAGAGAAGAAGGGACCACATAAATCAACACAGGCTTTTAAAAATCATGTGCAAGTTTCATTTTTATTAAAATAAATGTTATTGTAAATCTATTAGCAGGAGCTATAATTATTAGAAATAATATAAAGTAAAAGTAAGGCTATCTTGCAAGTACTTAAACTTCCATAATTTCATGAGATTAACTTAAATCAGTATAAATATAGTGCTCTATAAATCAGATAAATGGCATATTCCAATTTAAGTGGGTATTTAAATTTTTTTTTATATTTTCTTATTCTTTTCCTTCCTTAATTTGTGAATAAAATCATGTATCATGCTTTAAACTTTAAAGACAAATTTATTGGTTTACTAACTAAAGCATGATATCATATTGGAGGCAATTGGTCTGGTTTGAGAATATCATTTGGTGGTGCCCTGATTAATGCACTACCAAGAGCAAAGACGACAGATTAACCATAGCAAAAATGGTAACTCACTAATTCCTCACTGAAACTCTCAACAGTTGAGTCACATGCTGTTTCAATTAGTTTACCTGTTTGGCAATCTTTCTTCCCCTACAGAACAATAAACATTAACTCACTATTCTGAAAGAGGCTTATGAAAACATGGTTGACATAAGTTACTCCCTATTAAAACTTTTTTATTTCATTACAATACCAGATTTCCCTTTTGCAACATGATATATTGTATTTTACTTTAAATGTAGGATGATCAAACTTCCCACAAATATTTCAAATTTTTCATGAGTGGCTAAAATGATAGTTGTGTCAATTCCTTCTTTTACAGGGGAGCAGGATATATTCTAATCTTAATACTTGAGCAGTTGATTTTGAATAATATTAAAATAATCTTAGAATAAACACAACGCCTTTGTTCCAAATTTTTTTTAACACCCAAAATTCTTAGAAACATTTAAATTATAAACTTGACACACTTGTATTTACAATCATGATACTTTTAACATGGAAGTTCATGCTTTGTTTTCCCATTTTTTAGTGTTACTGAAAACACAAGAAGAGATCAGTGGACACTCTCTGCAGGCTGTTTAGAGGCAAAGCTGAAGTCCGGGAAGGTTCTGGTGGGCGGCCTTCTCTATCCAGGCCCCTTGTGAAGGAACCTTCTGTCCTTCAGTGGGATTGCAGCTTCTTGGAAAGGGGAGCCATTTATCACAGTCCTAAATGAAAGCATTCTTTAAACACAAATGTCTTTTTCTCCTTTTGTCTAATTACTGAGAGGAAAAGTGAGAAGGAAATGTCAAAACAGAGAAACAGTGGTGTATAGAGAGAGCAGCCACTCTGGAGCTCAACCAGCTTTTGTGAGGGTCTGGGCGATTTGTCAAATGGTTGTGGCATAAGTCAAGCTCTGAGGTTGAAAGGTCTTGACCTAAGGAGTCCTGGAATCAGACAGTGTAAGCAAGGGGTCTGCTAGAATTTTCAGCTGTAGTGGAGATGAACAATGATGGGAGCTGGACATAACAAAGCCTCATTTGCATAATTCAGGTAAGTAATTTTATTGAAACTGACAAGGATGTGACAGGCTAAGAAAGAGAAGAGAACACATTCTTGCTGGGAACCACTAAAGCTCCTCAGTTAGGTATGTGAAAATAAATGACAGCTAATCTCTTCACTAAAAAATCTGTAAACAATGCCATTTTACCCAGGACTTACCCATGACCTTTCGTAGAGCTGGCTATAGATTCTTTAGTCCACTCTGCCAGAATTTAGCAAATGGATTGGACTAAATTTAAATTATGTTTTAGTCTTTAACTGATAATAATTACTTCCCTGAATAAGAGCTCCTTCTAGGGCAGTTCTATATTGAGAAAGAAAGGGTAGGAACTTTCTAAAGTGGATGGCAATCAAAGATTTGAAAAGAACTCTTTATGAAACATAGTTTAACTTATGGAAAATATTTTTTGAGGGGGATTTTAACTTGAGCTGCTTGAAGTAAAATATAAAAAATGAAATACCTTTAGTACTTGAATTTGCTGATGTGCATTAGAGATTCAATTAATGTTTTCCAGTTGATCTTTTCAACTTTTTAAACCTATTTCTACAGGTATAGATGCACTTAATTTAAAAATTAAAATATTTCTTGAGTAATTAATAAAATTTTTTTCTGAATTTTGATAAAATCTTATAACATCAGCAAAACTGAAAATTAGATCTTATGTAGTCTGGATATTCTTATCCATAAAAAGGCAACAAAAAATGATAAGACTATCAGTAAAAGGGTTTCCTTGTTTTAGATAAGAGAACCTAAATTCTTAACAGCATTTTCCATGTCCTTTATGTTTGGCTTTGCTTTTATGTGTGGATCACCAGGAGATAGCTCATATCTTTTGTAATCCAGGCTGCTTACCAGTCACTGGTGACTTTTATAAGCAAGGGCAGTAATGGATGGAAATAGTAATCAGGCTAGAGAAGAATGCTACTCTAACCTAGTTTGCCAGGGGAGAACCATGTCTGCTGTGCCTTTCAAACATGCAAAAAATAGGAAACTCACTTAGTCAGATGTGAGTTGCAAATCTCTAGGTCTTTCTGGGTAGCAAATATACACACACTCCTTCTGCAGTGTATAGAACACATGCATAGTTTGACCAAAATGTGGATCATTCCATCAAATGGGAAGCAGTTGAGAGTTCTGGCTAGATCAAATGTGGATCTCAGTATTATAAGCAGGCTAATGCATAATTCATGAGGCTTAATGAATATTCCAATTCATGACAGCCAACTGGCTCCATAGGTCACACCTCCCAGTCTCATATAAATAAAGAATGAGATACTGGAAAGCATACCAGCTGAACCAAACTGAGTGCCAAAAACATGCATATTAATGAGGCACTATAATAGATACTTGACTCTTTGGAAGTGCCTATATTGGTTTCCAGCTACAGAGGGAAAGAAAGTTCACAATGTACCTTTAAACATACCATACTGTGCACCATAAAATACAGCTCTTTCTATGAAATATGGAATCAAATTACACTGATGTGATTTCAGATTCAGCCATTAACTCCATAACATCCTCTGACAGTTCCATCAACATTGAAACATTCTGGAAAGATCCCCACCCCCTGCTCCCATGTTCCCTTGCAAATCTCAACTTGGTAACTAGGGAGAGGAAGTCCTTCCACAGTGCTGTTCTTTTATGTGTTCTGTTTAGACCTTGGATCAGGATGAATGGTAGCTCAGATGAATGCATTTGTGCCATTTTTCTTGGCCCCAGACTATGTTTCCTCACTACCATGACATCTGAACAGAAGGAGAAAACATCTCCCTTTTGTAGCAGACTAATTTAATTTGTACCTTCCACCTAGGGGTAAATATGTTTGTCTGTCTGTCTGAGCTTTTTGCCCACTTTCTTTTCTCACGGGAAACCCTACTGAGTCGAAAGCAGGAAATTGCTTAGTGCTCTAACTTTATTTTAGAGTAATTTAATTTTAAGCCTTCTCACACCCACCCTAAAGTGAAGCAACTGTTGGAACCCCCTCGGGATACCCTTAATGACTTCTGCATGTCTCCTGTGTCACAGATGTCAAAGGCTTGTTGTTTCCGAGAAAAGATGGTTTAAAAGAGAAGGCTTTGGGCTGTTTTACCCACAGAAGATGTGCATTCGTTTTAAAATAAGGAAGAAAAAAAATCTTGAAGCTTCTACATGGACCTATATCCTTTCAAATCCATACTACAAGTCATTGATCTTTATTTTTAGTTGATCTTGGGTATTATTCGTAAATTTACCTTGTTTAATGTACAGAGTTGTCAACTATTTTAAACAACCAACAATACATCTTTTCCTTACTAAAATAGCATTAATACATAACTCAAAAATTAAATATATTTAGGTGTTTGATCTAGGCATTGTAACAATGTCTTAAGGTATCTCAAATATCAGAACAAGGCTCAAACTAAAATTATGGCTAGTAAGAAAAACAGTCTATTTATTGAAAAAAAAGGCTTAAATAAAGGAGTTTCTTTTTCCAGTAAATGGACATCAAAATTCATTGTTTATTTAATTCTTGTAATAGTTTTTAATGCACTTGAAGGAAAAATGACTTCTTTTTCTTATGGTTGTAAGTACACATTCTATTTAAATTTTCTCTCATAGTACTTATATCTCTACATCCTATTTAATATTTAGAGTTCTGTGACAATTCGACATTATAAGATATAAGATTTATCCTTGATATTATATCATGGAACAATTTGATGTTTAAAAAAGAAAATAATTTGTTAACATTATTTTATTGCTTCATATTCAATGTAAAAACCTATCTGGGAATAATACTAAACAGAGCAATCTTATTTTTTGGTTCTATATAATAATAGTTGCTTTTCTGTGCATATACTTAAATATTAATATGAATTATATAATACTAATGATACCACTGCATTAATTGAACTTGAATTCTGAACTATATGAAGTTAGTTCACAAGATAAAGAAGCATATTAAATGATTTTATTTTATTGACCAAACATTTAAACTTTCTTAGATTCAAAATATTTAAGTATCTTTATATAAAACTACATATTAAAAATCATGGAGAGATAAGGCTTTTCCTAAAGAAGAATTAATGGAAAAGAATATTACAGTTGGGTATAAGAATTTGACATTGTCTTGAGTAAGTCTCAGTTTTGTACTTCAGATCCAGGTTTCTTCTAAATATGTCAAATAATTTGCTAGAATGATCACTAAACAGATTCATTCCTAATAAATAAGTTTCCATAAGGGAGCAAACTCTATTTCATGTGATTTAAGTAAAAATTTAAGCATTTGATTTGTTTCTAGGAAAATTTTTATGTTTTCAATACAAATGCCTACATCAGGAGAAAAGCACCTAGTGTAATAATGTGGTATTTCCAACTTAATCCAAATGCACATTCAAGCTAGCCCTAGTCCATTAGAATCTAAACATGAGGTTGGCGGAAGATTTCTGCATATGGCCAGATAATCAATATTTTAGACTTTATGGGCCACGTATGGTCTCTGTCACATATCCCTCTTTGTTTTGTTTTATAACTCTTTAAAAATTTAAAAACCATCCTTAGTTTGAGGGCCATTCAAAAACAGACCACAGGCTGAATTTAGATTGCTGGTTGCCTAGTTTGTCAACCCTTAGTTTAGGCTTTTAAGGCCTTGTTTAATGGAGCAAAACATCTGCTATACTCACATATCATTATACAGAAGCTCATTTCAAGCTTAAGGTTTCTTTCTTGGTTTATTTTATATTATGCTATGAGTCATACAAAATTACCTGACCTATAAAATAATCTGATCTATCTATATAGATACTATAATTGGTGGACTTAAAAAAAACAAATTTCAGTACTTATGCATAACAACCCAACATCACTCAAACTATTACACACACACACACACACACACACACACACACAGATACACACACACACATCTTTCTGTACATGATATTTTTTTATTGGAAAATGAATTTTGCTGCTGTTGGGGTAATAATGGTGGAGGAGGGGGCTGGGTGTCTTTCACAGAGGATTACCTTTTCCATGTTGCTACAAAGTGAAAGAGACTATGTAAACCATTGGAGATATTTAGTGCATTTTAAGATAAAATCCCATATTCTTTTAATTATAAATAAACACAATATTTAGAAGAACTTAGGATATTTTGCCATAATTATTTTTAACATATCAGTAAAATATTATTTTTTTTAATCTTCAGACTAATATGATAAGCATTGCCTCTGACATATCTCTGTATGGGTGGCTTTCTTTAAATAAAAACATTTTGACAAAGTAAAGATTATCTATAAAATACCAAAACATATCATTCAGCTTACCTTCCCCACCATTATTGTCAACACAGTGTATGTTTCACAACTGTGCTTTTGGGCCAGATTTCCTTCAGATCTGCAGAGCTGTGATCTTCATTGCATTGCCTGTCCCTCGCAGGTTCTGTGCTTGCTGGGCTCACACCATGCTCTCTCCCAGTGTCTGGAGATGGATGCTCAGTGAGCAAGTGCTGAATGTGAAATAGACACAGTGTGGTGAAGGGAAGAGAATTTTGCCTTTAGGCAGGTTGCTATTTTAAATGCAGTGCCAAAGATATTATTTCATTTTACAGCAATACTTAAGCTCTAACATTTTATCTTAAAACAAAAGAGAGCATGGTCTGATGGCCAGAGGGTTGAGCCCTACCAACAGCAGCAATTTGAAGATTATTCAGACTCTGCCAGAGGCAGCTGGGAAAGGAAGGATATGAATCTAATGGGGAGTCTTTACCTTAAAGTATTATAAGACCCATTGAGCAGCAGGCAAAAAAACCTGTAGGGATGCATATTTAGTTGGTGTTTTATTGAGTATCTTTATTTTTTTCACCAAAGGTTATTTTGTACCTACCATATATATGGCAGGGATTGCATTTGGCCTCAGGGATATCAAAATGAAAAAGACTGTTCTTGCCCTCAGGTATCTCAGAATCTTCTTCTTTTCATTGTTTTTTAGTAAAATATCTTTTAAAATCATATCTCTATAAGTGATCCATGATCCTAAATTATATGATAAATTTTAAGTCTTCTAAATATCATGATTTTGCAAATAATAGAACTTAGTATACTTTTTTTGGTAATCATAGTGAACTTGATTAGATAGCATAGGAGTGGAAAGATCCACTTATCTATATGAAACATTCTCTGTGTGTACATTCCTGTGTGGCCCATTCAATAGAGAGACCCATAGCTTTCTTCTTTGCCTCAGAATTCCTTGATCCAAGAGGGATTAATAAACACTGAATTAGATTATATATTTCTTAAAGGCAGGGACTCTCTTACAAAAAAAAAATAGAATGCCAATTTACTTATGTACCAGTTGACCAAAGTTTTGAGTTCATAGTTGGCCACATTCTTGCACTGTAGGTATTACCAGCCAAGGCATTAAAATTATAAACATCCTCTATAAACTTTTATGTCCAAGCAATCTCTTTCCAAGTCTTAATGATTTAGATAAGATTTCTGATGTTTTGTAGGATTATCTCAAATTGTATTTTACTAACAAAAGTGGGAAAATGGTATCAGACTAATTATGTTGAAGGGTGATCATTTTTGAATGCTCAAGATGTATTTATGAGAATGCTATTAAATTAAAACCTTCACTATTCATTATAAACATTTAACATAAGACAGAGGGTATTTTCACCCATGAGTGCTTTTTAAAAATAATGCTTTGAGCTCAGTATACATTGGAAAGCAAGACTGCAAGCCCTCTCACTGAAGAGTAAGATCTGAGGGGAATATTTTTGCATACTCAGTATCCAGCACTGTATTTATCATACAGTGGGAACAAAGTAAAATTCTTTTGACTTATTGAATAACAGAATGAATGAAGATGTTCTGACTAAAGAAAAAAATTGGATGGAGTGTATGGGTGAATTTTAAGTTCCTAGAGTGAAATTTGGATATTCATTTTAAGGGGAATACATATTCTGGAGTTTTTATCTTTAAAAATTCTACTCATACATTAAGATAAAACAAGGGAAAAAAACCAAATGGAAATGAAACAAAAAAATATCAAATTCCTCCCCACTTTTTGAAATCTTCCCATTGCATTTTCTCCCCAGAAAAATACATCCCTGTTCCTCAGAAAAATTCTGGTGTTAGTTATTAGAGTCATTATACTTTCAGCATCCACTGAAAGTGATACTCTTCTTTTAATATCATGTAATATCATGAATCTCTCACTGCATTTTTCATTACTTATCATGCATTACGCTTAACTCCGCATGCAGCTGGGATGGCTGAAGTCTTCTGTTCTCTCAACCATCTTGGTAAATTTGACTAGAACTCTAAATTCCTGATCCTATGATTGGTCAAGTCAATTCAACTTTTATGGATTTCTAGAGATTTCTTCTTTATATGACAATAATACTGCCTTCTTTATCTTGGCATGTGGTGTCTCTTTTCTATCCTTAGCCAAAATGAACTTGAAATTTAGTTCTTCTACTGGTTTCTGAAAAAATCTACACACATATAGCTTTTTGTGATTTGAAAAGATTTCACAAACAAGTTAAGATTATTGAGAAGTGGTCTTCTTTCCTAATTCCTCTATTATAAATGTTTCCTTGAATTTCTGTTCCTCTTTGCCTTCCTTGAGGATTTTCTACACCCTCGGTTATGGATCTTCTCATCTATTAAATAGAGGAGGCTTTATTTCCTCCCAGTCATTTTTCCAGCTATATCTTATGCCTATAACACCTAATCAATGCATTTTTCTAGAAAGATGCAACGTTGTTCCTCAGAAAAATTGGGTATTAGTAATTAAAATCATTCATTATACTTTCAGCACCATGCACATAAACTTTACCCTTTGTTCCATTTCTTGTCTGCAAACTTCTCATGGTTTTATACAGAGCTTCTCAACACTATCTCAAATGGAACAACAATTACAGTTATGTTTTTGAATGTACTGCCTCATTTGGTCCTTCAAATTAACTAAGGATTTGACAAGGCCTTCCTACTTTAAAGCAATAGTAACTGCCCTGAACAGGTTAAGTGATAGTTTTTACAAGGTCTTATGACTTATCAACAGCTGAGTGAAGATTAGAATTCAGGTCTTGCATGTCCAGTACACTGTGTTCTCTTTATCACACCAAAATTAATGTTATCTGGATAAATGAGTATTTATATAATGTCACCAAAATACATCTACAGGCAACTGACTATAGTAATTGGAAGGAAAGATTCAATTTATTTATTCTATTTATACCTTTTTTCGTGTAGAAAATTACTTGATCATATCAATATCCAAATCCATACACATTGCACACACGTACAAAAAAATAAAGTGAATTGTGAACTTCGGAATTGTTTATTTTCAAGGCCAGGTAGTACTAGAATATTTTTGGTATGGTCAGACTAATCAAGTTTGTAAAAAGTGTGTAGAGAATGATAGATTTTTAGATATTGGCACATGTACATTTATAGCTATTGACAGAGCTTAACTCTTTTCAAGGAGATTCCAACTAATATTGGCATTCTGTTTTATCTGTTGACACTCAACATGATGTACTGTGGAAGACTTTAAGGCTTTCAGTGTTTGACTAAGCCTTACAGTCATTAATGTTTAATCACTTACAATTCCAAAAGCATTGTGCTTTCATTTTTTTATGTGGCTTGTTTATCTATGTAAAGTAAATCAGCAGTGCCTTTCTGATAGTCTCCTAGTACATTTATAAGCAGTCCCATTTGGTGATCAGTGATGAATATGGATACAACTGCTATTTGGAATTACTTTATCATTCTATACAGATTCTGAATTCAATTTCCCTTTCGCAACAATTATAATAAAAGCAAATACCAGACAAACTTTTCAAAGCTATGAACGTATTAAGGAAAGGCAAAGATAATATGATCCTCTTTTTTTTTCTAGTGTACTATTTAAAATGTGTTTTATTCGCAATTACAATTTCTATGCTGCAAAGGTTTAGAAAATGGTTACATTAGAAATCTTGTAGATAAAATATATTTTTGCCACTTCAAGAGTCAAAATTTCAATGATGACTATCTTTAAGGACAAGAGCAACTCACTCTCAGGAATGGTTATACCAAGGGAACAATGAAGAGATCTTGAAGCACAGCTCTGTACATGCCACTGCAATGAATGCACACCATTGTACCATCATCGTCAGGGCACTGGTGAGAGACAGAATGCACTTGGCCAAGGCTGGGGGAAACGGGGACACAAAGAGCCCAATTCAAGCAAAGCATAGTGGGTAGTGGACACATTTGTAGAATTTTAACAGACTCCTGGCATTTGTATTTATTCTTTGTTTACATTTGGGCTTTTAGAGAAACCCTAAAGTGATATTGCAAGTCCTCTTTGTATATTGAAAAACTGAAAATGTAGATAAAAGCACAATGTGTTACTTAAGAAAATATATTAAAGTTCTCAGAAATACTTTTTAAAATTGGCTACAGAAGAAACTGAGAAACAATTGGAAACTATTTATATAACAAATAAAAATGTCATTTCCTTTTTACAGCTCTACAAATGGAAAAATACAGTTCTATTATTCCCTTTCATGAAACTAGCCCAATGTGTGAACAAACAAGCCACAACCAGGCTGACAGATACTCAGTTATACTTTATTGCCCTCAGTGTCCCATCATCATGTCAGATGCTATATCCTCCATTCACCTGTCTGTATCTGCAAGAAAAAGATTCTTGGGTATAGTGAGGTTTTTTTAAAAATAAAAAAAAATAAAAGTCTGAATACATTCTTTATTCAGCATCATAGAGACTAAATATATACTCATCTTTTATTGAAATGCAATTCATGGTCACAGAGGATGGCAGGAAGATATAGTTAAGTAGCAGAGGTTTAGAAAAATGGATATACTGTAACTTCTAAGAGAATAAGGCAAAAGGCTGAAGCCAAAGTGTGTCTATGCCACATAAAGGGACAGCCATGACTGAATTGCCCATAGGGGAAGGGCACAGCTGGTTTCCAACTGTCCCTACTAGATTTGCCTGGTGACTAGTTCTACCCCTGGAGTTGTCTGACTACATTCACTTCAGCCTCAGTGCATAGAGCTGCCCAGGAAGTCAGATGCCAAGGTTAAACACAAGGTCCATTTTCTGAGTGGTGGAGGGTACTTTGGACTCTAAGCTGATTTTCCAGAGACCTTTAAGTGGCAATGTCTTACTTCATGTGCTTGCTTTTTTTTTTTTTTTTTTTTTTTTGTAGCTGTATGTTCTGGAGGCATGCCCATGACTCCTGATATGTGTCAGTCATGATTTTATTTTTCTGTTTGCTTCATCTAGATTGGTGAGTCTCAAACTTGAGTATGTCAGCAACTCCTGAAAGTTGGTTACAAATTCAGGTTCCTAGGCTCATATAGGCCTGGTTGTGACCTAAATCATAATTAGACTTCATTTTGTAAATTACCATGCTGAACATTGATGTCAGTTATGATAAAGAAATATAGAATTATTTTGAATTTTTTTCAAAGGAGTTGGTGAGAAGTAGCAGCAATTATTTGATGGAATGTATTATTGGAAAATGAACCATAATATTTAAATCTTTAACTATTTTATTAAAATGCTGATGGAAGTCACATTAAATCATTTTTGTTCTGAATAGTGATAAGATTGGAGAGAATTTCTATTCTCTAAATAGAGAATAAAGGGAATCCTGATATGGTAAAGGCCATCCATTTATGAGGTAAACTCTCTAAAGAAACAATTTCTATGTTGCCAGATTGTGATTACCTTACTATTACTCACCAATACCTACAAATAATGATTTTTTTTATGTTTATTCATTTGTTTATCCACTATGCTCATACAGGATTTCATGGTGGATTTAAGTTTTATTTCTTCTATTATTAGACAAATTATTCATTTTCTGATTTATCATTTATATTTCTTCTTATTTAAATTTTATTACTATCATTTGCCCACTTTTTCCTTTTTCTTTTTCTTTCCTGCACAGGTATTAATGTTTTGAATATTGATTTGAAAAATGTCTCAGTATATTAAGGATATTAACCATTTTTATTTACTTTATATTTTCATTTAAGAAAATTTTGTTAAACTTCTATTTTAAAAGTGCATTGAAGATATTGCCAACAAACCAAGATAAAGATTTGGAATCATTTTCAATACATCAATCAAGCAGCAACTACCAAGAATTAAATTTTTATACAAACGGATACAACCACTTAATACTTCTATTCCATGGTTTTGTTCTTTGTGCTATTTTTATTGGATTCATAATTAAGTAGCATTATAATGGGCTTTGAAACAGTTTTGCTAATATAGGGATTACCTTTTTATTTTAATTAATTAATTAATTAATTTACTTATTTTGGTATGGGGATTGAACTCAGGGGCATTTAACCATTGAGCCACTCCCCCAGACCTTTTTCATATTTTATTTAGAGATGGGGTTTCACTGAGTGGCTTAGTGCCTCAATAAATTGCTGAGACTGACTTTGAACTCTGAATCCTCCTGTCTAAGCCTCTGGAGCTGCTGGGATTACAGGTGTGTGCCACTGAGCCTGGTGAATTATCTCTTTTTAAAGTTTAATGAACGCTTTGAAAATAATTCTGGCCCTGGAATCTTTGCAAAAATATATATGCATTCCTTCTCCAACAATTATCGTAGCTTAAGGTTTTGCAGGTCTACATCTACTGATGGGTGTTTTTGTTGACTATTGTTTGTTCCTGTTTTCACAGTGCTATCTTCCTGGGACGCCACTAAAATAATCTTTGACCTTCTTTTTCAGAAGGGAACATGAATTTATACAAAATGTTCCATCTATCAAAAACGACCTCCAAACCAAAAGTAACTTAAAACAAAATTTTTATTTTGCTCATAAATTTGTTGATTAGCAATTCAGGAAAGGCTTAGATGGGTAGTTGGCCTCTGATTCACATGATATTATCTAGGGCAGCCAAAGCAGGAAAATCCACATCCAAGATATTTTTTTTTTCTTCACATGCCTGATGCCATGGTGTTGCTTAGCTCGCTTGTGCTCTCTCTCTCTCTTTCTCTCTCTCCCCTTTTAATTGCTGTGAAATTCTAGAACCTCTCCATGTGTTTTTTACTTCCCATAGTGATGTCTCAAGGGTAGTTTCCCATCTTTACTGGCATCTGTTTTCCAAAACACTATGAGCAAAAGCTTCCCAACCAGCCAAGGCCTCACAGAGGATAGGAACAACCTCAGCGCTGGTGTGTTCCATCGGTTAAAGCAGTCACAGGGCCTGCTCAGATCCAAGGGACCAGAGAACCAGAACTGACCCATTGATGTGGAATTGGCAATGTCCATGGCTGAAAAACATGTGGGATGGGAGGTACTGCAGTCATGTTTAGAAAATATTTTGTCAAGATAACATGAAATCCCTGCTCTGACTTTATGTGAGGCTGGGCTTGTTTTTGTGCCTCTTAGAGAAGACCAAGGTTGAATTTGACACTCATCATCTCTCTGGTAAGTTTTTCTCCAACCTAACTCTCTGATCTTGATTGTGGTAATACCCTCTTAACTCTCTCAGTGCTACCACTCATGGCACACTGCTGTCAATTCTACTCAAGCAACCAGAATGGTCCTTTAGAAAACCATATAATCCTATGGACTTTTCCTATTCCAAAACAGATAATTCCCAATTTACTTAGAATAACATTCTTTCAACATGGCCATAGATGATGTTAAGTTTCATGACTCCTGCTTTACATTCTTCTTTAGACCAATTGTCCTTCCAACTGTTCCTTAAAATCACCCCAATCCACTTTAGCTTCAGGACTTTTGCACTTGTTATTTTTTCTTCCTGAAGAAATAACCTTATCACTTCACTGAAATTTCTGCTCAAATTTGAAAACTTTTTTTTTTTTGTACCTGGGATTGAACCCAGGAGCAATTAACCCCTGAGCCACATTCCCAGCCCTTTTTTATATATTATTTAGAGACAGGGTCTTGCTGAGTTGCTTAAGACTTTGCTAAGTTACTGAGGCTGACTTTGAACTTGTGATCCTCTTGCCTTAGCCTCCTAAGCTGCTAGGAATTCAGGCATGCACCACCGCATCTGGCTTAAGAAAGTTTTAAAAGAGTCATTTATCTAATTTATCTATTTTTACATATTTCTGCTTCATTTTATACAATATGCTATATAATATGTAACATATGCATTTATTTGCCTCTCTATATTGCATTCATAGTAATGCTTCCAGATACTAGAACATTAGTTGATTAGTAAACACATGGGTATGCCTAAAGTGATAAAGCTAAATTCCACACAGAATTTTTTTCCTTTTATAATCTGTAACTTCAAATCTCACCAATTTGAGATAATATCAATATAATAGAAGAGTAAGTAAGAAGTATGGACATACTGAATATAAATTTAACTTGGTTCCCTAAAACTCATCCAGTTACTTACAATAATAAAATATATTATAATAATAAAATTAAACATAATAATTAGTGCTAATGATAAGTAATATTAATAATTCATTAATACTGACTTGATAGTATCACCAAGATAATTTTAGCAAGTAATTCTTCCATTCTTCATGTGCCTAAACTCCTTATTAGTTCAATGCTGAGTACTACCTATATACTCCTTAAAAGAAGCTATTGATTACGCAATTATAACCAAATTACTAATTTTGTCTAAAATGAATTCCACTTATCTCATTTCTTATTGGTATAAGCTATGTTGATCAATTAGTTTCACAGAAGCAAACTTTAAACTAATACTTAACATTGGGCTTCTGAGTTTACTCAAATTCTTGCTTGAACTAATATTGTCATTTTCATCTCATAAAAAAATTGATTCTTAAAATTACTGAATATTTAGATAATGGAAAATGGCTCTGTTTATGACAATTTACCATTTATATATGGGTGTGAGATATTAAAAATACAGAAGGAATCATCTCTCTCTTCCTTTTTGTCTTTACAAGTTTGCACACATGTGTGTGCATGCACACACACACACAAACACAAATAACCTAGCTCTGCATTTTTATCAGATAATGAATGTTTTTTCTATCCCATTCTATGAATTCTATCTTCTCTAAGCTCTCTATTTGATTGTATTTATTATTAAATTGATACTTAATTGTCTCATGTTAAATATATTTCTCACATATCATTTTAACTAGAGAGTTATTTCTTATTCTTCTTATTCTTCTTATTTGGTATCCCCCAGTTCCCAGCACAATGTCAAAGAAACCTATGTAGAGTACCTAAGAAGAGAGTAGGATAATGAATAAAAACCTCGACATAGTGTGGTTTGGCATGGTCATCACATGCTGTTTTTCCATTCTCCTCTTCTTTGTTTTTCAAATAAATCAGAAAAATTACAATTCACATCTTGAGAATGATTTGATAGTTAAGTTAGAAAAAGAAAAAAATAATACAAACAATAGTGATAATAAACACTCATAAAAACTAATCTGAAGATTGTTCTCCCTAAAGTAAAAATGTTAATTTACAGTAGGCAGATTAAAATTGTTTTAAAACAGTTTTAAACTCTTTTGGCTTTTTCATGGCATTAGTCACAAAATAAAACAAAGACAATCTTGAACATCAAACAAGTAGGCTTCTTGATATCAGTAAACATTTAAAAATGTTCCTTTTATTGTTGAATGCAGTGAAATATGTTTGCATCCTTCTGACTCTGTTCTTCCTCCCCCAGGGGAAAATCACTTTGAAGAATGCAGCAAATTATTTTGTATACTACATCCAAGGCTACTGAACCAGAAGAATAAGGACATACTGCTTGTGAGTTCAGCTGGATCAATAGCTCAGCCCTGGGATTTGCTTGTCTGCTGGATATTGAATGAAAAGCTCTAAGCTGCCAGTTTGTACCATGGATATTGAAGACCCCAGTACAGCCAAACGACATTTTTCATAAGACAGAAAGTAACTTACCTGTAAAAATGTTCAGATATATGGGCCTACAACACATTAAGACTATGAAATGTGCTTTGGCATTCTCTGTAGGAAATTCTCCCTTGTATTACTCAAGAGAAACGGTGCATGTGTGTGTGTGTGTGCGCACACATATCTACACAAAAATATATATTGGTAGAATGCCTCAAAGCACTTTACAGTCATGGTCAAATCCATTCTTATACCTGTGTGAATAAAATGTGAGTAGTTGTTATTTCCTCCTTTTTTCTGTTAGAGAGCATGACACAGCTGGCCAACCTGCTCAGGAGCCACTATTCTTCAACCCTCATTTTCTTGACTACAACTGTCGCCACCGTGGGCCATCTGGTAGCAGAATGTGTTTGCAGTTTATAAGTCCTCACATGAGACACCTGACAAGGAAGTGTTCCTGACTTCTATTCTGCACTCCATGTTTGTCTTCAGGACATAGGTCCTAATATCATAGCAGCAACATACCCAAACAGGACTCCTCATAGAATGAAACTAACAAATACAGAGATATTAGAAACAAGTTTTCATGTTTAGCTTGAGATCCCTATGAAACTGTCCCTATTCTGGATAAAACAGCTTTTTGAAGTGGTATTTAGAAACAGCCATGAGAAAGGGGGCAATACAAATGAAGCAATTAAAAATAGAAAAATAAAAGTCATCCTGCTGAAAATGGCTATGCACTGAACCAACGCAAGATTTCAGGCATTTGGCTGCACTTATTATGCTTTCCCTCTTGACTATACTCAGAGTAGAAGCTTGCCATCCAGAATGATAGGATAAGTGAAAGCTTTCAACCTCTTGTTCGGGCTCAGCTGCCTTCCTGAGAATCTAAGAGTGCTTTCCTGGCGTGGGGCCCAGCTGTGGTTGGCAAGAGAAGGCAAGTTGCCACTTGAAACTCTTTGTCACTGCAAAGTGGCCCTTGCCTTTGGAGTCTCCCCTAACTTCAGCTTCTGCTTTGAGTGGTGGTTTGGTGACTGAACTGACAGAAATAATGCAGAAGCATAAAAATGATTGGTGAGACAATACTTTTCACTGTAGTGAAAAGAAAACTTCTGCTGTGATTGGACAATTTGCCTGTGCTTCCAGACCAAGACAATAGGTTGGACCACCAACCAGGAAGTGAGGGGGAATTTTCTTCTTCCTTCCTCCCCCCATTCCCCCCATGCCCATCCTCACTTTAAAAGATGTTTGATACTTTTAGGAAGTGAGGAGTGCAAAGTAATCACCTGAGAAAATGATCTTGAGTCACATTACTGTTGTCTCTCTCCATTCAAAATGTCCTTTCACGGACACTTGCATGACCTCTGTGAATCTTAACCACAGGACTCACGTAGCACAATCTCCGCAATCAATCAAATGTGAGTTCAAATTGTATGATGTTGGATAAATTGTTCAATGTTTTCAAGTGTCTGTTTTTTCTCATTAAATTACAAGAATAATGTTTTATTTCATAAGGTGGTTGTGAGGATTAATTTAGATACTGTAAGTAAATAGCTAAGTTCAATACCAGGCACTGTTGTAAGCTTTTAGTGAATGGCATGTGGTCAGCATTTCTTAATTGTCCAATGTTTTCTTTTCCCACCCAATAAAGGTCTAGACATAACTAGCTTCAAACTTTGCCCCTGGCACTTCTTTTTGTGTGTGTGTGTAAGTATGGGTAAATCACTCTATTTCTCTAAATTTTCTTTATTTTTGTTTTTTCCTTTTGCATCAGTGATGATCGAGTATTAACTACTTCAGAGATTGTTGGAGGAATAAAGCAAGGGTAATTCTTAATGAAATGGAGAACTTTGTTCTCTATCTTCTTTATTGAAATAATATGTCAAAACGTCCTATATAACCAACTTATTCAATCACTCAATATTGTAAAATGAAGATATACACCACCAAAAGAAGCAATAGCTAAATAAAAATATATTGAAAACAATTTTGTATAAAATAAACTCTTAAAATATGATTTTAATGTGTTCTGTTAATTTTTTTCTTAATTCCTGAAACAAAATAAAGTGTTCAATTCATAATGCAATCTGAGGGTACAGTGTTCCCATCACTAACTACCAGGCAATTGTGGTTTTTACAAATGAAATTTAAGTCTTTTAAAAAAAGATAAACAATGATACTTGTACCCATACCCACTTCAACCATATTTGTTGACTAAACATGGACTCTTGACTTTTTGACTTTATGGGTAAATGGGACTGAGGTTGTCAAGAATGACCAGCTCATCAGTATGTAATATTTTTTTTTAAAGTGGACAGAAAATTGTGCTGAGCCCAAATTCTCTTTAGCTAGTAAATGTTCTATAAAGAAAAACGTTCTTATCACACTTTAAACTACGTAGGTGGGGAGTTATAAATAATAAAATATTTTAAATGAAGGGTGTAGCATATATCCTCCTCAGGCTATACCTAAAGAATGAGCACTGGAAATAAGAGTGTTACAAATAGGCTTTATTGTTTTGCTTTATGGATGGCACATTTTTTAAAATGTAAAACTAGAAAATGGCCATCAGCTTTCTGGAGAGCTCTTAAGTTACCAGTTGGCTTTCAAAGTACAAAAACTTTTTATAAAACTGCTGATATTAATGTAAGACTTAGGCTAAAAAACTGTCTATGTTTGATTAAAATAACTTAGATCTTACATTAGTAAATGAAAAACTTCTTCAATAATAAGTTGAAATAAGGGGAAGGCATTTTCTGCTTATGCCTTATAATAAGCATTTTCTGCTTATTATACCAAGTCTCCTTAATTAAACTTCTATTTCTAATTGATAACACATTTTAAGACAAGCAGAAAATATGATAGAAAAATATTTTCCATATTAACAGGAAACATTCTAATTCTACGGAAATCATTGTGGAACTCTTAAAACAAATATTCTAGCTTAATTTTAAACTGGCATCACTGAGAGGAAATTAGGAATGCTTGTTGAGATCAGCGGACATTTAAAATAGATAGGGAGATTTGAAAATGTAATGAGTATTTTACAGCATAATGTGACTGTTTTTTCCCAGTTCCTTTTGGTTATTTTGGTGATTCAGTGGGAAAATGGTAAATTGTAAGTATAAAAATGATGCAAGCATACCTGGGATTTCTGGCAGCCATTCCAATACACTTTCCAAAATGTCGGCTTGGACACCAGAATTTAAACACTTCATGGCCAAAAATGGTGACCAAAATTTTTCAACTAAAATTTGTTTCATTCAGCAGCAAAGGTTTCTAGGGTTTTACCTCTCTATATTCATTCTTATTTTATTTACAAAACAAAACACTTTTCCCCTAAAATCTTTTATATTTCTGCTGCTATATGAATCTCAGTCTGTTCTGTTGTTCTATAATGATGACAATTTCAATATAAATATTTAATTTGCCATTTCAGAATCATCTACTGAGACGTTTTCTTATACCACTGCTCCTCCACTGCCCTGTGCCTTACTCCTAACGGATACTGAAGAGAGGACAGGCCCTGTCTTGAATGTTCATGGGAGTGTCTTCAGAATATCTGGGGTTTCCAGTGTTGCTATGGTTACCTTCTCCTCACTCTGTCTAGATATTACTGTAATCCTCCAGCCATTTTGACCTGGAGTAGGAAGATTAGTTTTTAGTCCTAATCTCTTATTTTTTCTTTTCTTTCAAACCCAAATAATATTGTCCTTTGTCATAACTTCTGATGGAAACTTGACTTTCTCATATTTTTTTTTCCATGACATTGAAATTACCCTCTCCTTTTGAGGTAAATAAGTCTCATAGCTTAGTGTTCGTAGCATACTAATTTAATGGTTTCAAAATCTTATTTTCAAATATTACAAGTGTGTCAAATAGAGTGGTTCTAGAAAACAAAGAAGTGGCACATCTCCAGCTTTCAAAGTGTTCATGGCTTAGTGAGCTGGCAAGAATAATTGGGAGCTTGGGAGAAGACCTCTAAGAGAGGCAGTGGAAGGGAAGTCTTCTCTGCAGGAGGATACCAAGTTGAAGGGATTTTCCTAAAAATTTCACTCTAGCATGTTCAACAGTGTAGGAGATACAAAAGAACATATGTAGGAAATGGGTTCAGCATGGCTGGAGCTAAGACATGAAGAGGAGATGATTAGATATGAGCATGACCCATTCATGGTTTCCAGCATGTCACAGAGCCTGCTGTCAGTGTAAGCCTCGGAACTATTTGAGGCAGGTTTGGTCTGAATACTGGGAAACATATTGAAGGTAAGAGTTGGAATTAGATGGGAAGGAATTAGGCTGAGAGACAAGGAGACCAGTGTGCCCTATACATGTATATTGTCAGTAAGAAATAAAAATTTTACTTAAATAAATAAATTATAAATAAGCTGGTGGTAATATAAATTAATACAGTCATTATGAAGAAGAGTATAGCAATTCCTCAAAAAACTAAAACTAAAGATAGAACTATTACATGATCCAGCAACCCCGCTATTATGTACCCAAATGAAGTGAAATCAACATTTTGGAAAGACATCTGTATTTGCATGTCTATTGTTCTATTATTCACCAAAACCAGGATATAAAATTAAGCCGAATTTTCATCAATAGATAAATGGATAAAAAGTATAGAATGGAATACTTTTCAGAAGCATGGAATTCTGTCATAGTAGCAACATGGATGAACCTGGAGGGCATTATGCTAAGTGAAATAAGCCAGGCACAGAAAGACAAACACCATATGCTCTTACTTATAAGTGGAATATAAAAATTTGATCTCATAGGGTTGAGAACAGAATAGTTACCAGAGACTGAGAGTAGAAAGAAGGGAGAAATAGAAGTCAATCAATGGATGTAATGATTTGTTTAATAGAAGAAAACAAAGTCCTGGAGTTCTGTGGCACAACAGGGTGAATACAACTGGAAATAATGCATTATATATCTCAAAGTTGTTAGAAGACAGGAATTTAAACATCCTCACTATGAAGAAATGCTGAAAGTTTGAGGTAGTGGATATGCTAATTTCTCTGAGTTGATCACTGCTCATTATGAACATAAATAAAGTACACCTCATAAGCCTGTACCAATAGTAAATATTATGTATCAATCAAAATATAAGAAAAAAATTATAAAAGAAATAAAAACTTGAAATTTTTCTCTCTCAGAGAACAAAACAACAAACAACAGTGAGGAGTGAGGCTGAGTTTTGTTTTCTGGTTCAATCTATTGAGTAGTCACTTTTTTTTTTTTTTTTTTAAATAGGTGTTGGGCAGATTCAGTGGTAAAGGGGCCTGAGATAAAATAAATTTACGAGACCTGCAGAATTTCAGATAATGTGAAAGGACCCAGTGGCAGAAAAAAGGCAAATTTACCTACTTATTTCTGGTATTCATTGGCCCAGTAATATAATTTAATGACTAAAAACCTAGATTTCAGATAAAGCTAGAGCCATATGTCACCTTTTCTTAGCATCTGTTAGAACTTTAATTTTATACAAATTATATAATTTCTTTGAGTCTTAGTTTGCTAAAATGGATGAAAAACTTATTTTGGAGGCTGGGGCTGGGGCTCAGCAGTAGCAGCACATTTGCCTGGCATGTGTGAAGCACTGGGTTCAATTCTCAGCATCATGTATAAATAAATAAAATAAAGGTCTAGCAACAACCCAAAAAAAAATTTAAAAAGAAAAATTCTTACTTTTTGATTTCTACAGCTGAATTATTGTAAAGCTCCTAGAAGAGTCTGCATTAATTGATCGGGAGCTACTATTATTAATGAAAAAAGTTAGGATAAGAAGAAAACTGGCATCTTTCTTTTGTTTTAACCTGATAGTTTTAGTATCTAAAGGTTAAATTTTTATTATATGTCGATTAACTGAGACCACACACTTCAATGATATTATTCAGGACTCTTCATTTGAAAGTGATAGAAACCAATGAAGAGAAGTTTTAGAAAAAAATAAAACCCACTGGCACGAGTAACAGTTAATTCCACGAATGTGAATATTCCTGTGATGTTTGCCAGGTCTCTCTGACTCTGCTGCTCTGGTTCTAGCCTTGTTCTCACTTGTTCTGCTTTCTCAGTTTTAAAGTGGTCTCCATCCCTCCTGTAAGACAGACACCCTCTGTGTGACTAAAGAACTCACTCACCAGTGGTTCCAGGCTTTCATCACTCCAACTGAACCAGGGCAAGAGTGCTTCTGGGCTCCTAACATCCATGATTTAATCTGTCTGGCTTTACCCCTTCACCCCTAACCACAACTCATCATTCTGTCACTTGTATTATTTTCTGTGGCTTAACTGAGGAATTCTGGTTGAGGAAGGCTGGGTACCAATGCTATGGATGCCCAGGTGAAGGTCAAAAAGTTGGCTATAAATAGACTAGAAATACAGGTTTGGAAAATAATGGCTATCTAAAAATGACTTGAATTCACCTAGGCTTGAATGATAACATTACAGAGATGTTGTCTCTGTGCCTAGAAGACCACTGATATCCTGGTGAAGAGTCCCCATTCCCACCAGACACGGAGGGGAAGCTGTTGTTGTTTCTATCTTCAAAGGCACAGGGGGAATAGGTTATGCCATCTATAATTCTGGCTGGCTTCCCAAGTCCGCTTCTGGAGCTCTTTATTGAAATGCCTCAAAAAGTCGGGGGAGAACTTGGAGGTGAAGAGTAGT